ATCTTTACTGTAATTTGGCAGGATAATTTTAAATCAAGAAACATAATACTTTCAGTTTTGTTCTCTTGGCTCAGGATTGTTTTTGCCATTTGAGGTATTTTATAGTTCAAATAAATTTCATGATGTTTTGTTCTTTGGGGGCTGGAGCGATAGCACAGCGGTAGGGCGTTCGCCTTACAAGCGGCCAATATGGCCGACCCGAGTTCGATTCCTCCGCCCCTCTCGGAGAGCCCGGCAAGCTACCGAGAGTATTTGATATGCCAGACACAGTAACAACAAAGTCTCCAATGGAGACGTTACTGGGCCCGCTTGAGCAAATCGACGATCAACGGGAGGGCCTTTACCTTTACCTTTGTTCTTTGGGATTTTGATAAGGATTTCTTTGAATCTGTGTATTATTTTAGCTAGTGTAACCATTTTAATGATACTAATTCTTCCAACCTAAGAGCACCACCTTTTTATATCTTTTCATTTCTTTCAAGAATGCCTCATGGTTCAAAAATGCAATTATAATCTCCATCTGTTGCATCATTCACTGTTCGCTGATCTTTACAGGGAACATAGATTTGATTTTTGTTTCTTTCAAGCTGGTTGAAGCCACCTCTTCTTTACTGGATGCAGCTTCCCACCCTGTGGCACCTGTTCTTATCTTCTTCCTTATCTTTGACCCTGCCTGTTTAGGGTTTTCTGTTTAGGGTGGCATTTTGAGGAACTAGAAAAGTGATTATTCAGATGATGCCTGTTGTGAAGTGTTACAGATGCATCTTAGAATGTATATTTTCTTTTCTGGTTGGGACTTGTTCTTTTCCATATCATCATTTACTGGAAATGATTAGCACATTATAATGCTTCCCAGACCACCTCTTCCTTTCCACAGATGGGTCTGTGATAACTTTCATCATTCTGGTGTCTGCATTAATAGGAAAGATGTGTAGATTTATTTCTTTCCTCTTAAGTCCATTTATGTCTCCAACAGTTCATTTTTTAATGAGAGAGAAAGAAAAAAAAAACAAGCAACAATTTGTTTTCCCTGCTTTTATTTCTTTCTCCTGGGACCATTGTTGAATTATGTGAAAGTTCAATTGAGATTATATTTCTCTTAGGTTTTCTTCCCTGCCAGTAAACTCCTGGAGGGCCTTGCCAATAAACATTCTATGATATATGAATTCCCTCAACTGCTATTCAAAACTTTCCCAGCTCAATTAGATTTTATTCCAGTATGGAATTATTTTTTGTTTCATGTCTTTTTCTTTTCATGCCTTTTTCTTGAAAATTCCTGTGAGTTTTCCCCCCTTTTCCCTTTACTTTGATATTGTTGCAGTGTCTGGTGTCTGGTGCTTGCAGACTTAACAATGATGTCACTCAGGGTCACATATTTGCTTATGATGTACTCCAGTGGGAGGGTAACACACTTGGGACACCATGTATCACCACTGCAGGGCTGTCAGGTACCACACTCTGATGATGTGCACTGGTGCCAGGTGCTGAACTTTGAGCCTTAGGTTTGCAGGACAGGTGTTTTACCACTGAGTCCGATGCCTGGAACCTCAGATTTTGAGTTCCATAAACCCTGAGGATCTGTAGAGGGTAATTCAGTTGCCATTAGGAAAGTTCTCCCCTTGCATTCATAGTCTTCTCACAGGTAATTCTTTTTGACTATTCAGTTGAATGATTATTCGTGCCGTTATCAGACAAAGCCCCCACAAAAGCCCAGAGTGATTAAGATGCTGAACCCACAGCTGGTGGGACTGAACACAGGGAGTGACTTTCTAGCCAGCAAACTGGACTGCCCATGCTCCTTACAGTGCCCCCATAAAGGGAAAACTTCCTTACTAAATATATTTATTTAGGGACCAGAGTAACATTACAGTATGTAGGGCACTTTCCTTCCTCAGCACCTGATGTGGTCTCCTAAGCACTGCCAGGAATAATGTCTGAGTGCAGAGCCAGGAGTAACCCTTGAGCATCACCTGGTATTGCCAAAAAAATAAAAACAGAGTTTATTACTGATGAGCCTGTGATTTACAATACTGTTAAGGATGCTTTTCCAGCTTCTTAATTCTGTCACCACACCCTTTACCTGTGTATCTGCCTCCCTTCAAGGACTCTAAAGCCTCACCCTTTCGGACTTGTGCCCACCAGCTAAGTCATATGGGTCAATTCTCTGGTTGCCCTTGGCCCTTTGTTGTTACCTTGTTCTTTATCTTTGAACTCCACACTTGAGAGGGCCATTCTTTATCTCTCTCTTTCCTGCTGACTGACTTCACTCAGCATGCATCCTCCAGTTCCATCCAGGTTGCTGTAAATTGCATGGTTTTGGCCTTTCTGAGAGAGGCATAATATTCCATTGTGTATATTTATGTATATCACATAAATACCATATATCTGTATGTATGTATTATATATATGTATATATATATAGCCCGCCCCTCTCGGAGAGCCCGGCAAGCTACTGAGAGTATCTTGCCCGCACGACAAAGCCTGGCAAGCTCCCCGTGATGTATTCGATATGCCAAAAACAGTAACAACAAGCCTCACAATTTGTTGTGAGACATTACTAGTGCCCACTCGAGCAAATCAATGAACAATGGGAGGACAGTGCTACAGTGCTATATATATATAGCTTCTTGATCCATTCATCCATATTTGGACGTTGGTGTTGTTTTGATATCCTGGCTCTATAACTCAGTGCAGCAATGAACATAGGTATACATATAAACTAGTGTTTTCGTATTTTGGGGGTAGATACCAAGAAATAGTACTCATGAGTTGTATGGTAGTTTCATCTCTGCTTTTTTTTTTTTTTTGGATGGGCCTCCGTATTGCTGTCCATAGAGACTGAATTAGATGACTTTCCCAACATTGATGGGTGAAGGTTCCCAGAAAGCTCCAGGCGCTCTTAATGACTGTTGAATCATGATGCTCTGTCTTTCAGGGTTATTTTAAAGATTGAGCCCATTCATTTAAAATTTTTTTGCAGAGGGACCAGAGTGTTAGTACAGCACACTGCACACTGCCAACTCCTGGGTTCAGCCCTCGCATTCCATATGGTTCCTGAGCACCAACAAGAGTAACCCTGACTACAGAGCCAGGTGCCCAAAAAACAAAAACAAAAATTTTGCTTTTCAGCAGAAGGTAGTAAAATAGCTAAGGGAAGACATTTTATCCCTCTCCTCTCCTCACCTCTTCTCTCCCCTCCCCTCCCCTCCCCTCTGTTCTCTCTCCTCCTTCCCCTCCTCTCCCCCCCCCCCTCTTTTCTTCTTTTAAGGAGGCACACCCAGCAATGATACTTGTCCCTAAGGTGCAGGCCTGATGTTTGGTGCTCAGACCCATTAGGGCAATACCCAGTTTGTTTAGGGAACCATTAGGAGCTGGCATTTGAGCTCACGCCTTCACACATCCTAGGCATGGGTACTTGAACTGTTCCCCTGGCCAAGGGAAAAAATTTTTTTTTACATCTCAGTATCTAGCTTTACTAAAGGTTGGACTGTTTCAGTACTGAGAGCCCAGCAAGTCACTCTGTAGCAAGAGATGAATTACATGCACTTGTAAACAAGTTAAGCATTGAGAGAAAATGGATATCCTTTACCCAGCGTAAAGACAGTTATATCTAGTTATGCATTTCCTTCTATTCTCAGGAGATTACTGATTCCATCTTATATCTGATTCTGCTTAAATTTCATTTCCTAACTCCTAAAGAATTTTGAAATGATAATAATACAAAAACTTTTTAGGTCTTTTTTGCAGGCTGTTTGGATTACTCAAAATAGAAATTACTCAAAATTTCTATTGACACCTCTGGAGCAGGATGAGATGCTTCGGTAGGAAGGAAATGTGATTTGCTTTCTGCTTCTCCCTGCTGAGGCCACAGAGCAAGGAACAGGCAGAGGGACCCCAAGAACTCCTTGCCTCAGACTCCCCCCACCCACCCCATGTGTGGACGGTTTCTTTAGAGGGATCTGAGAAGTAATTTTCTTTCTGTCTTTTTTTCTGAAGATGCCATATTTGGTAGGTTACACGACTTAACAAGAAAGTAGGGATTTTGTTCTTGTGTTTTGGACCAGTGCCCTCAGTGCTCAGGGATCACTTCTAGCAGAGCTTGGGGGGTGATATATGGTACTGAGCATTGAGCCCAGGTTGGCTATAAAGCAAGCACCTTACCCCTCTGTTATCTCTCTGGGCAAGCTCAGGAAAGATTTTAGTTACTTATTATCTAAAAAGCTCCACTACATAGAAGACAGACAGACTTCTTTTTTCTTTTTTTCCAACTTCATCCTGAGCATCAACTTCATGGAGTCTGATTAGTTGTTTTCACTGCCCTGGACACCTATTTCCCTATTCCCAAGAAAATTCTCGTTTATGTACAGTTTGTGGCAGGTGGGCCATTCTTGCAGAAGAAATTTTATATTGCAAGAAAAATTTGTATCAACACTTTAAAGAAACAACATGTCTGTGAGGGTACATGGCAGTTCCTTCCTAACATCCTAGCTAAGCAAACTCACCTAAAGAGTTTTGCGTGTTTGGGTGGACATTTGTCTGCTGTCTGTCCAGACCATGAGGCTGATCTTCATGGAACCGCTACAAGTGCCCTAATGTCGCTGGGTGGGTCTTTTCAGCACTGTGAAGGAAAGGGTTTTTTTCCCTGCTTGGCCCACTCAGGAACCTCTGCAAGTTCATCTCCTCTGTGCCCAGTATTATTCCACAGTCGTCATGGTTGAGAAGCCTCCCAGAGGCATAACTGTGGAACATCGAAATAAAAAGTGATGCATTTTGGAGTGATACACAGGGGATACTAAAATACTTGGAGACCAAAAAAAGAGAGAAAAAAAAATCCATGAGAGTCGAGTTAAAAGGAAGAGAGTGGAAATTTTTTTCCTTCTTGCCTTTATGTTCCCGTAAGAATATCAAGTATCAAAGAAAAGCATTAGCTTTGTCAGTGCAGTTGCTACGCTGCAGCAAAATTGCTTTCCATGGCCATGTCTTTGTTCTTCTTCCTGCAGGCTCGGCCCGTGGATTACCCTCGGGACTACCTTTCACACCAGGTGCCCATATCTTTCCACAAACACTGGAACATCGATCCAGTCAAGGTCTACTTCACGTGGCTGGCACCCAGCGAGGAAGATGAAGCCAGACAGGAGACACCGAAAGCCTTGAAGGAAGAGTTATAGGAGCATGGGGAGCCCAGTGTAGGGGACAACCAGACACTGAGACTGTGACCCCACCCTGCCATGCTGGGAATTGACTGTGAGCCACGTGGGCAGAAGAGCATCCCCGGCCAGAGATGGAAATGATGTATGTGCTATTTTTCAGGAGGAAAAAGAAAAGAAGTCATGGGGGAAACTTTTTTTTTCTGGGAAAAAAATCACTTGCTTTTGTATGATGCGGTTATTGTTATACACCATGTGAGTACTGTGTGCTTTTCAGGCTGTGATCCAGCAGCCTGGTGACTGTCCCAGGAGAATAAACAGAACCACAAGTCCCCTTCCCGCTGCCTCTCCTGATGATGATAGGAGTTTCAGTGGGGGTGAGGTGGGGGTGCTGTGACTCCCGGTTGTCAGAGAGAGAAGCGGGAAAGTGGAGATTTTTTTATTGATGATGGCAATTTCTGCTTGGAATCTCAGAAGTAATAATGCTATGTTGGGGATCATCTATAAAATATAAAAGTCTAGACATGAAATCCCCTGAAGTCCATCATCAGGGTTGTTGTGCTTTATCTATTTTTCTGTTTGTATCTCATAAAACAAGAATCAGAAGTGCTGGAGCTTTCTGTTTCTTTAGAGGATCGTCTGTGTTCCATGGCTCCCCAAAGCCCTGTTGTGATGACCTGCTTGTAACATTAAAGTGTGCGGGGCCTGCCAGGAAACTATGTGCTCAGTATTTAGAAACCATGCTGATGTGTTTTATTCGAGTCAGTGACACGCTCCATGTCAGTCTCAGGAAGTTAGTTAAATTATTTTGTACTTGACACTTGACTCTCATTTTTTTTTTTCACATTGCTTCATGCATCTCTCCTGATACAGAGTGAGATCCCCCACTCTTACCTCACTGAACCAGGAAGTATTGAAGGACTGTGTGATTATTTGATGGTTTTCTTCAGTTCTTTCAGAGTAAAATTTGAACATAGTATTTTAAGTAGCACTAATTTTTAAATCATGCCCTTAATATATTAGTAATTTAACATATTCATGAATTTGTAAGAAGTTACTCTTTATTTTAATACTTTTTAATGATTCAGTTTTCTAAAGTCATTTGCATAAAATTTGATTCTAGGTAAAGGTAAAGGCCCTCTCGTTGTCCATCGATTTGCTCGAGCAGGCCCAGTAACATCTCCATTGGAGACTTTGTTGTTACTGTGTTTGGCATATCGAATACATCACAGGGAGCTTGCCAGGCTCTGCCGTGCGGGCAAGATACTCTCGGTAGCTTGCCGGGCTCTCCGAGAGGGGCAGAGGAATCGAACTCGGGTCAGCTATGTTGGCTGCATGCAAGGCAAACACCCTACTGTTGTGCTATTCCTCCACTCCAAAATTTGATTCTAATATCCTAAAATAATTTGGTAGAGTAAAATGCTTCTCTTTTTAAAAAATTGAAATTGAAAATTCCTCTTCATTGGCTTTGCTTATAATTTTTTTATAGCAAGGTACAAGGATTTTAAATCAAATCACCTAAAGTACCCATGCATATCTTTTTGAACAGATACCTTTTTCTTGTAGCTTAGCTGCGACCCATTTCCAAAAGGATTCAGTGGTATTTATAATTTGTCCAAACTCACAAATACCAGGATTGGTGTCTTTTCAGTAAGAAGTGGGTGCATTGGATTTAATTTTTGTAAGGATGGATCTTTATGGCCTATCCAGGGAAGGGAGTGGGGATGATCAGCTGGGTAAGAGAATCAAGGATCATGGATCCTGCCAAACTGTCAGCATTGTTGCCATATTGGGATTGTCATTGCTGCCGTGGCAATAACAAGGGTGTGGTTGTCTGACTCTGAAGACAGGAGGCTTCTCTTCTGGTCTTCTCACCCCTTTCTACCAGCAGCTTCTGCGCTGGTCAGGGTCCCACCACATCTGTGTGTGATGAGTCACATCCCGCTTTCTCCTGTGTCATGACCAGTGCCTTCAACTGCTGCCAGAGCTCCTTCTCTGGCACCCGTGGTGTTTTTATTTGTCGTGTGTATCTTGGAACTCTGTAAGCGTAACCGCAAATAAAGATCTTGATCTAAGGTTTTGGTCACTTGGTTGCCTTCATTTTCCCCAATCTCGAATAGAAATGGGGAGAGACAAAGAGAAGTGAGTGAAATCAGAGAAAGTATTGGCAGCTCAGTTAGAACAGTTTGAGAGAGAAACATAAGTAAAAAGTTATTCTTTTAAGGGAAACTGACAGATATCAAAGATTAATTGCTACAAAGTCTATTAAATGGTGATGGTGGGGGGGTAGTCAGGAGACCTCTAAGCACTGCTCAGGCATCATGGGATCTCTTCTATAATACTTGGCCAGTCATGCTTTGGGATTCTTGAGAATGTGATGCTGCTTGGACTTTGTGGGGCCAGGGACCACTTAGGGTCATCAGGACCTCCAGGGCTATTCTGGGCAGTGCTAAGAACCAGTGGTCAGAGATTGAACCAGGGTCTTGTGCTGCAAAGTACTCACCCCAGCATCTGTGCTGTCTCCCTAGGGACTATTTCTTCAGTGATGAACTGGAGATGTTGTTTTGGAACTGATTCCCATAATTTGATTCTAAAGAATTAACCTGACTTTTCTTGGCAATTCAAAAATACTGTCTTATGCATATTATCTTTGCCTTTCAAAACCGGAATTTATTTCCAAATGGCTATTTTTACCCTGAGCTGGGGCGATAGCACAGCGGGTAGGGCGTTTGCCTTGCATGCAGCCAACATGGCTGACCCGAGTTTGATTCCTCCTTCCCTCTCGGAGAGCCCAGCAAGCTACCGAGAGTATCTCGCCCACACAGCAGAGCCTGGCAAGCTACCCGTGATGTATTCGATATGCCAAACACAGTAACAAGTCTCACAATGTTACTGGGCCCGCTCGAGCAAATTGATGAACAATGGGAGGACCATGACCGTATTTTTATCTAGGGATTTCAGCATTAAGAAGTTATATGAGAAATAACAGAAATTCTGTTTTTTTAATAAATTTATTAAATCACCGTGAGAGCAGTTACAAAGCTTTCAGGTTTAAGTCTTGGTCATACAATGCTTGAACACCCATCACTCCACCAGTCACATTTCCCACCACCAGCGTTCCCAGTTTCCTTCCCACTGCCTCATCCCACCTCCTGCCTCTGTGGCAGGTACCGTCCTTCTTACTCTCTCTCTACTTTGGGGCATTATGGTTTGCAATACAGATACTAAGAGGCCATCATATTTGGTCCTTAGTCTACTTTCAGCATGCATATCCCATCCCGAGTGGTCCCTCCAACCATCATTTACTTAGAGGTCCCTTCTCCATCCCAACTGCCTTTTCCCCCAGCACATGAGGCTAGCTTCAAACCATGGAGCAGTCCTCCTGGTCCTTAACTCTACTGTCCTTAGATATTAGCATCATGTTATTTTACATTCTACAAGTGAGTTCCGTCATTCTGTGTCTGTCCCTCTCTTTCTGACTAATTTTACTTAGCATGATACTCTATCCCCACAATATTTTGATTATTTTTTCTTGCAAAGTTCTACCAGTGCTTTATATATCTTGGACGTTAACTCTTTGTCATATAAGTAGTGGGCAAATATTTTCTCCACTCTGTGGACTATTTTTTTATTCCCATTATAGTTTCTTTTGCAGTGCAGAAGCTTCATAGTTTGATGTACTCCCATTTATTTATTTTTCTTCTTTTGAAGCCATGGCATTGAATTATTGAAGATACCTCTAGATTCAATGTCATAAAGGATTTTACTTATGTTTTCTTCAATATAATTTATTGATTCAGGTCTGATATAAAAAGTGTTTAATCCATTTTGGTTTGACTTTTGTGCATGGTATTGAAAGACATCTGAGTTGTGTGGATTTTTATTCACTTTTGCCTATGTTTTTTTTTTTTCATGTGACCAACACCACTTTTTGAAAAGGCTTGTCTTGCTCCATTTTATACATTTTGCACTTTTGTTGAAGATTAACTGTCCATACGTGAGGCTCTTTCTCTAGACTGTCAATTCTAATCCATCAGTCTCACAATCCTTCTTCCAGTACCAAACATTTTTTTCATTACTACAAATTTATAGCATAATTTAAAATTGGGGAGTGAAAAACTCCCCATACTTCCCTTCCACCCCCAGGGTTGCTTTGGCTATACTTGGGCATTTATTGCTCCATATAAAAGTTGACAGATTTTTTTCTATGTCTTTAAAATGTTATGGGTATTTTTAAAGTTATTTAAAAAACTATTTTTGTTGTTGAGTCACCATGAGACAAATAGTTACAAAGCTATTCATGCTCATGTTCCAGTCATACAATGTTCCACACTCCACCTGTGTACATTTTCCACCATGACCCCAGTTTTCCGCCCACCACCCCCTATCCCCAACCTGCTTCTATGGCAGACTACTTTCTCCTCTCTCTCTCTCTCTCTCTCTCTCTCTCTCTCTCTCTCTCTGCCTCCCTACCTCCCTCTCGCTCTCCCTCTCCCTCCCTACACCCCTCCCTCTCTCTCTCTCTGTTTCTCTCTTGCTTGCTCCTTGCTCTCTCTCTCTCTCTCCCCTCTCTCCCTCACTCTCTTTTTCTCTTTAAATCTTTTCCTCCTTTTGGGCATTGTGGTGTTTTTATAGAGACTGCATTGAATCTGTATACTGCTTTGGGCAAGATTGTTGTTTTGATTGTTCATTCTTTCAATCCATGAATAGGGGATGTGTTTCCATTTCCTCATATCCTCTATTTTTTAAAGTAGTGACTTATAGTTTTCTTATTTTTTGTATAAATCTTTCACCTCTTTTGTTAAGCTGATTTTTAGATACTTGAATTTTTGAGGCACAATTGTGAATTGTATTTTTTTTTTAGTTTCTCTTTTCTATTGTTTCTTGCATATTAAAAAAAAGTCAAGGGGGTTATACACAGATCATGAAATAGTGTGCCATATCAGTACAAGGAAAAATATAAATCATATGATAATATCAATAGATGCAAAGAAAACATTTGACAAGATTCAATATCCATTCATGATAAAAATTCTCAATAAAATATGGGTTGAAGGAATTTTTCTCATCATAGTTAAAGTCATTGCTTGGAGCCGAATGGCGACTGGCTAATGAGATAGCGACATTCCCAGAATCAAAGATCCCCATACCCACCTCCTAGAAGACAGGACTTAAGGTCCACCTGGTGCCAGAAAACCACCACACTGCATTCCATACTTCCTTGCATCCACTCCCTACAGATAACAGAAGGCCAGGCCAAGCGCTCTGGTCCCACAGGTTTCCATTAATTCCTTTTCCCGCCCAAGACAATTTAAAATTGGGCTTAGCCTCTCCCGGGGTGTGGCTCTACCCCAGCCTCACCAGGGGCCAGGAGATTCTGCCCAGAAGTGCACCCCAATAAACTACTATTTTTTCACTTAACCTGTCTCTGACCTTCTATCTGTGCTGGGTGAGGTCTGTGACCTTCACCACAAGCCCAAAGAAAACATCATATTCAATTGTGGAAAACTGAAAGCCTTCCCTCTCAAATCAAGCACAAGTCAAGACTTCTCACTCTCACCACTATTTAACATAGTATTGGATGTTTTGGTCATAGCAGTTAGGCAAATAAGAGATATTAAAGGCATCCATATTGAACAAAACGAAGTCAAACTCTCAGTTTTGCACATCGTATACCTAGAAAACCCTTAAGACTACAAAAAAGCTCTAGACTTGTATAGTAAATTGGCAGGCTACAAATCAATACAAATAAAACCATGGCTTTTCTATATGCAAACAATACAACAAAAGAGAAATTTTAAAAAACAATACTATTCACAATTCTACTGCAACAGAGT